TGAGTTTACTACTTTCATTTTCATCAACCCTTATCTTCTGAGGGAAAAAGGAAAAAATAAAAGATATAAGTTTTTCTGTAGTTCTTTTTTTTTTAATTTTTATTAGTTGTGTTTGAAATAAGACAATTATATTTATTGTTGTGGTACTATGTTTGTGCTTTCTTCTATGATCTTATTTTCCCGTGGTTTGTGCTATCCAATTATGGGAAGTTTTTACCCACAATCTTAATTATCATATTTAGTCTCATATGTTGGAGAGGAAAATGTTCAATACTAATGTGTCATAGCACGTAGGTACTGTAACAAGACCATCTTTGTTGTATAATTTGTTTGTTTGAGTCATCGAGTTTTTTGTACTCAGTTTATGCTTGCAATTTGTGTTAGTGTTCACTAGCTGTGGATCGGCTTACCTCTGGTCTGAAGTCAGTCACTCTAAGAATTTATGATGGAGTTTTTATTCAGATTATTGTACTGATCTGGTTTTGTATTATTGATAACTGAATTTTCCATTTGGTCTCTCTTTATGACTTGTGCTTGCTTGCTTTGATAGTTGATTAATTTCTGCTGTAGTGGTTGTTGACAGAAAACAGATTGTTTGAATGTATGGACTAAACAAAGCATTGATTATTATTTTATTTTACATCTTTGTTTGAATGTTGTCTTAAGTTGTAATAGACTGATTGTGTCATAAAATGCTCTTACTAGGATTAACATGTCAATAGGTTCAAACATTGATGTTGGATATTTGCAAAATAAAAGATGCAATTGTGGAAAAAAGGCAACAGTGTACATATTAGAATCAAAGAAAAATCCAGGGAGGCTGTATTTCAACTGTGTAGATAAGATATGTGAGTACTTTGCGTGGAGAACGGCTCCTACTGGGAATGCATCAAATATCCAAAGGAGAAGTAAAGCTATTCATATGAAGAATGAAGATGAGAGAGGGTATGATTATGATTTTAACAAAATCAATGAAATTATAAATAGATTGGAACGAGTTGAGGCAAACCAAGAAGCTATGAAACTGATTATGTTAACAATCATAGTGTTGGTTAGTTTTACCATGCTAATAGCACTACTGAAGTGAATGTAACCTTTTTTTTTTGGTGGTTGTATTTGGATTTTGAATTTAGTAAACCTTAAACTATGTGTTTTGATATGAAAAGCTTAATGAAATTACCTATGCTATGTTAATAGTGATGTGCTTCTTTTTGTTTCTGTCAATGATAGTTGTACAGCTTTGAACCTATGGGTTTTGAAGTTGCTTTCTGATTTAATCTTTTCATTCATTCTTTTATATTGTTATTGTTGGTCATACTTGTTCTTATCAAGATAGGCCTTTGCTTTCTGCACTTGTGAAATGAAGCTATGCCCTCTGTTGTTTGCAATACAAATAGGATTTGGTAGTTCATTTGTACAAATGGCCTTGGACACACTACTGTTGCATATCTAATGATATGGGAAGACCAGAACTGTCCATCAAATAGAGGAAACATCCCTTCAAACTGGACTTCTTTACAAGGGTTTTAAAAATCTAAGATTTACTCAAGCTAAGGAACATATGACAATATGACATTCAAATATGACACATGACATTCAAATAACACCTGGTGGCAGCAACTTGAAGCATAATTACAATATTCTACAAGCATAATTACAATATTCTAGATTTGAATCCAGAAGTATAATTACAATATTCTAAAACCTCTAATTTCAAACATTATCAATCTGTCCAAATTTGTCCAAAACAAAATAAATCTGTTCAAAAAAAATAGATAAAATAAACCTGAAGCATAAGTACAATATTCTACAAGCATAATTACAATATTCTAGATTTGAATCTAGAAGTATAATTACAATATTCTACAACCTCTAATTTCAAACATTATCAATCTGTCCAAATTTGTCCAAAACAAAATAAATCTGTCCAAAAAAAAAATAGATAAAATAAATCTGTCCAAAACAAATAGATAAAATAAATGTGTCCAAAACAAAATAAATCTGTCTAAATCTATCCCAAACAAAATAAATCTGTCCAAATCTGTCCAACATAGATAAAATCAACTTCTCAGGGATGTTCATCTACATGACTGTCAGCAAGATTGTGTGATGCTTGCGAGACTTGGACTGCAAAGTGTTGCACACTTGTACCTCAAAGCAACTCCTGAAAAGATCTTTGAGTTGGATAGACAGAAGGCATTGATTGAGGAGTGTTATTTCCCTGCAATAGAGCTAAATTTATTAAACTTTGATTACAATGTCAACTACCCTTTTAATGTAAACTATGTAACCGATAATAACTCACATCATATGTACCATCCATAAGAGGAGGACCACTTGTATCACCCATGAGAACTTGAGGTCGATGTTAAGATTGAGAAATATAGACACTATGACGATGATCCTAAATACAACCAATATAAAGTATGTAAACAAAAATTTTGAAAAAAAAAAAGAAACATTATTCAACATTAATATTACCTGATTAGAATTACTACCCATGACAAAATGAGGTTGTGATTGAGAAATATAGACACCAAGACCATGATCCTAAGTAAAACCAATATAAAGTATGTAAACAAAAAATTTGAAAAAAAAAAGAAACATTATTCAACATTTTCTTAAAAGCTTGCACATAAATAAATATTACCTTATTAGAATTACTATCCGTGATGAAACGAGATTGTGATTGACCTTGGGAAATATAAACAACAGCACCCAACTACATTGCCAGGCAAACCAATTAAAGATAACAAAATTAAATGTCATCCGGATAGTCATAATTACATACTAGTGAACAGACTCAATAAAAGGAATTCATAAAATTAACCATACAAAGACCATATTACTATTAAATATTACCTGAATAGAATTACTATCCATGACGAAACGAGGTTGTGATTCATCTTGGGAAGTATAAACAGCAGCACCTGACTACATTGCCAGGCAAACCAATTAAAGATAACAAAAATTAAATGCCATCCGGATAGTTCATAATTTCATACTAGTGAATGGACTCAATGAAAGGAATTCATAAAACTAACCATACAAAGACCACATTACTATTAAATATTACTTGAATAGAATTACTACCCATGACGAAACGAGGTTGCGATTCACCTTGGGAAGTATAAACAGCAGCACCCGACTACATTGCCAGGAAAATAAATTAAAGATAACAAAAATTAAATGCCATCCAGATAGTTCATAATTTAAGACTGGTGAACGGACTCAATGAAAGGAATTCATAAAACTAACTATACAAAGACCACATTACTATTAAATATTACCTTAATAAAATTATTACCCATGCCGAAAGGAGGCTGAGATTCATATTGGGGAGTATAATCAGCAGCACCTTACATACAACGAAAAACCATAATGAAAGTGGGTCGTTAATAAAAAAAAAAATCATTGTTTTAGTTTATTAATCTAATGCATTTTAATCATATGCAATTGTTCATGTAATTAACTGAATAGATTGCATCATTTTCTTCTTTGTAATAGATTTTTCCATCCCGCCTTTGATCCTCCTTCTTCCCTTACTAGTTGATTCTCTTTTCTTGAGTCCTTTAGCTTAAATTGGACAATCTACTTCATCACTCTGTGGGCATGTGTTGCTTGACGAATTTCTCAAATTAGTTACCTCCACTTGACCACAAATGTGGACACTTAATTTGTCTTCAACCATTACACTCAATTCTTCACCTTTTGAAACTGACAACTGATAAGTTTCTTCACTTTCAGCGGCTCTACTCGTTATTGCTCTAAACATGGTCATTAATGACCGATATCGGTCGCTTTGATGTAGTTTCACATCAGCCTTCACTTCATACCCACATCTATCTTTCATACTTTCAACCCTTGCTTTTTTAGTCCATCGTTTGAGTATATATTGTGGAAGAAGTTCCGTTGCGTTGAATATATCTCTAAGCACCTTCACACAATGTCAACACAATATGTCTTTCACTTCAAACTTCCTGCAACTACAACTCAAAGAACCACCTTTATCCATTGTCACATTCTTATCTTTTTTTCCATCTACCATTGTTCTTATTGTGAATATGGTACTCTCACTATCATTAATAGTGCCTATAATGGATGTTTTAATGGACTGCATGTACTCATTTTGGAATTCCTTAAAAAATATTTTCATGTAAATCTCTGCCACTTACTTTAACATCAAAGTTGGAATTAAAACCCTCGGTAATTTTTTAGACAAATTATACTCGACTTCCAATTCTTTATACCTCTTCTCATAAAGCACCCTCTCAAAATGCATGAAGAACTCCATCAAGTTATGGTCACAATTCAGATAATCCTTTAAAAATGCATTGAAGGATTCACTAAGTTGAGTAGTACTCATTCCAACTGCCCAAGAATTCATAATATAAGAACATCCCCATTTCTCCTTCATGCGAAAAGTCTGCTCCAACCAATGATTGTCGTGTGTATCATACTTATCAAGCATTTGGTCCCACTATATTCGGAATTCTTCTTCGTTATCAATGTCATGCATAAATTTTGAAAACACAGCCTTGACCCCTACATCATTGAAAACAGAACTTACATGCTTGACAGTATTTTGCATCAAATGCCATGTACAAAGTCGGTGGTTTGTATTGGGCATGACAATTGGAATGGCCTTAGCCATTGCGGCATCTTGATCTGTGAAAATAGTTTCCGGAGCTTTGTTTGACATTGCCTCCAAAAAAATTTGAAACAACCATGTAAAAGATTCACTAGTCTCATCATACATTAACGCTGCACCGAATATAACTGTTTCTCGATGATGATTAAATCCAACAAATGATCCAAAAGGTCTATGCTCGTTATTTAATTTGTAAGTAGTGTCAAAGGTCACTACATCACCGAACTGAGCATAGTTCATGATCATTTGAGCATCGGCCCAAAATATATTACTTATTTGCTCTTCACAATCTAATTGGACTGTATAAAAAAGGATGGATTTTCTATAGTTTTCTTACGAAAGTAATGCATCACACTACTCGCTTCTCCATATTCCAAATCTTTTCTCTCCTCGATGTTAAGTAATTTTTTTTGTCCAATTTCGTGAAGCCAAGTGATGCTCTTCCACCAGATTCCCTACCAAATAGCTCACAAGTAGACCTAAGAGGAATTCTAGATTCTGAAGCCAATTCTGCTTCTATTGCTTGGGTGGTAGATATTTTTCTTTGGGATGGCAACATATGAATGCAATCTTGAGGCACAAGGTCATGATTATGGTGTTTAACAAAATCATAAGCAATATATTTTCTTGAAATTGTACAACCACATCTTACCTCTTGTCTCGGATTTTTGACAAGTGGATCTCGTTTGTCAATACCCCAACTTCCCTCTTTGTAACATACAAACGTTCGTGATGTTATCTTCTTCGTATGTTTGTTCTTGTTTGCATAGGCCTTCCTAATATTGAAGCCCACCTTTCCCCCATAGATATTGTAAAAGTCATATGCGGCTTGTTCAGAGTCAAATGGCATTCCCACTTTCGGCTTCCAACCATAATTGGAGTACTCATCAACAATATTATTTTCTTCCATTATCTGCAATTCAGTATCATACAAATAACAAGTTTTACCCATCCTTGTTCTTGCTATTTTTTTTTCTACAAATAACTAGGTCTTTAATAATCAATTTCTCTATTCTTGTTATTTTTTACACATCTCTGTTTTATATATAACAAAAAGGTTTAACCACATTTATACTGAATTGCAAGTACTGGGGGTGAATTGCACAAATCTGAATCATATATATATAATGGAAGAAAATTATATATGAATCCCTAGAAAATAATAGTTACAAATAAATGTGATTAACTATCCAACAACAAATATGAATCCACTACAACAGATCAATGTGATTTACTATCTAACAAATAAATGTTATTTATTATCTATCTAACAAATAAATGCGATTCACTATCTATCTAACTGAAAATAATATATAGAACAACAAATCTGAATTTAACAACAACAAATCAATTATCAAACCCAAGAATCAAATATATCCAACCCAAGAGTCAAATATAATTCATATATGAATCCCCAAAAATCTGAATCTCTTATATATAGAACAACAAATTTAACTACAACAGATCAATCATCAAACCCAAGAATGAAATATATCAAACCTAATAATCAAATATAATTTACATATGAATCCCCAAAAATCTAAATCATATATATACAGAACATCAAATTTAACTACAATAGATTCAGTGAGTGAACCAAACCCACTTCAAAAATATATGGCCAGTTTCAGTGAGTGAACTCATTTCAAAAATCAATAACAAATCTAACCTAAGAATCATATGTATATATATATACATACATATATATATAACAGCAAAATGATGAAATAGACCTCGTCGTCGCCGCAATGTCGCCTTTCCCGCCATCGCATCGCTACCGGACTCACTATCACCCGCAATCTTTTATGTTGCTCCTTCGCCATCGTGTTGCTCCGCCATCTTCACCATCTCTTTCGTCTCTCAGTTCCTCTCTCAATTCGCGTTTGTTTCTCCGTTTCTCTCTCAGATCCTCACACCGACTTTCAGTCGCCTCTCGTGATGCCTCTCTTTCTCTTTGCTAGGGTTCATTGACTCAGATCGATGGTGCAAAGCAAAGAAGATGATACAGAAAAGAGAAAATAGGGAAATGAAAATTTTGAAGAAAAAAGAAAAATACTAAATAAAACGACGTCGTTTTATCCAAAACGACGTCATTTTGGAGACCACTACAGGAACCACTGCAGGAAACCATGGCAAATATAATCTGGACTCATAAATTATCACATTACTCTCTTTATTTTTTTACATATCTTTTCGTAAAACGTTAAAAAAAATATTAAAATAAATTATTTCCAAGCGAGGCATTACTATTAATTTAATTTTAAAATAATGTAACATTATACCTTTAGATTTAGAGGGCCGAGGAGTCACATTAGGGCTGGCACTGCCATTAGCAGATGTGCGGCTAAAATGACAAAATGCTTTAGAGTCTTAATTCTTGAGTTCTAAAGCTAATTTTAATGAGTTGACAGCGTGTCCCACCCACTGTGATATAATGTTTTGATCTTGGTTTGTTTGTTTTTTTTTATTTTTTTCTCCTTGTCTATTAGAGTACCAAAATTAATGCTCTGAATCATTATTGAGCTAAAATATGGTGGAAGGTCTAAAACAGAAGGAAAGTCAAAGAAGTCCAGAGACAGTCTCTGATCTTGCTGTGGCACCATGTCGGTGCACTAATTGGTGTGCATCATCAGAGGCGAGAAGATGGGCATGTTCTTAACGTGCTCCATTAACGGATCTGATCCGATTTCATCAGGAGGAACCGATGACCTCTTCTCAGAATTTTGTTGGTATTCGTCTTCCTCGCATGTTTTCGGAACACTACTGGCAATTCCACGAACATGCATATATATAAAAAATTTATTTATGTACCAAAAACATAAAAGCATCCGAATCCAAATCCGAATGGATAAATGATGACGTCACATTGGGGTTCACTGAACCCTTTTTTCTTTCTGAGGGTTTTCTTTCAAACCCACGCAAAATCACTGCCGATATAGCGATCCCGGTTATCCCTTTACTGTTCTGTTGTATTTCGGACGCGGTTCCGTGGAGTTGGTAGTTGTACCTATCGTGTTGTCAACCTTTAAACCCTTTTTGTTTGAGTTTTAGAATGTGTTGGGCTTGGTTGTTACAGGTTGGTAGAGCTTTAGCTCCCATTGTTGTTGCCCAGTTTTTGAATGGTTCGCTCGAGCGGATCTTATTGTGTTCGAGCGGGGTTTACACACTTCCAGTATTTCGTGCCCCTGCAAAACTTCTGCAGGTGTGTTTTCTACGCTCGAGCGAGTTTCTTGCGCTCGAGTGGGTCGCGTTCGAGCGGGCTTGTTGGCGCTCGAGCGGGTAGTTCTTTTTCTGAAAAGTTCTGGGAGGTGAAAATCTACGCTCGAGTGAACTGGTTCTTCGCGCTCGAGCAAATGTGTTTTGCTTTTGTTTCTTGGTGCTCGAGCGGGCCTTCTTGAGCTCGAGCGTGACCAGATTTTGTGCTTGATGCTCGAACGTTCTATTCTCCGCTCGAGCGGGTCATACGTCTATGAGTCATCCGCTGGGTAATTTTAAATCACTTTTTTACATTTCCTTTCTCTTTCTTACTTTCCCAAAATCGATTTTGAGAGCCTCTCTCTCTAGGATCTCTCTTCTCTCTAGGGTTTGATCTAGTTAGAGTGTCTCCCTATCCTTCGGCCTTTGTAAAAAGTGTGTTGATCGTTGAGGACTATATTTTGATCCAAGAATTTTGGGATTTGGAGCATTTTCGTTTCCTTCATCTTCTTTGTTGGGTTTCATCTTTGAGGTAGGGATTCCTACTCATCTTTATGGGCTTTGACCTAGATTGTGAGCTTTTGTATAAATGATTTTGGATTTTGGATTTTGGAAGTTAGGGTTTCAAATGTGTGATTTTGAAAAGAGGGGTTTGTTTCCTTTGAACCATAACTGTGTATTTGGGTTTCAAAATGAGTATGTTGATGTTTTTAGTAATATTTGGATCCTTGGGGGTCAAGATTGAGAAAAATGGGAGAAAGTCCTAAATTGTGTATAAATTAATTGGTATAATTAATTTGGAAAAGTTATGGATTTGTGAAATTGAGTTGAATATAATGTTAGTGGTTCATTATGAGATGGAATAGTAGAGTCAGATTAATAAATCGTTCACTTTTGAAAATGCGGATAATTTATCTGTTGGTGCTTTTATTATCTGTTTAGAAGTAATTGTCTTGGGCTACCGGTGGAGGGTAGTTTTGATTGTTGTAGACAATGCATGATGATTAGGCAAACCAAAACTAATCAATTGGATGTGTCATCGATTATGACGGTTGAAAGAATACATTAATTTTATGTATTGATTGAAATTGTATATGATAACTGTTTATATACATTGCTTTGTGTGGGAGGAGATGGGGGATGTACTCCACGGTTTATTGGAAGATGGAGGATGAACCTTTAAACTGGAAATTATTTGACATTGATACAGCACTACAATGTGTATCATTTGTGAAGTCTAGAAGTGTTTTGCTTGACATTGATACAACACTAAAATGTGTATCATTTGTATTGATTGATTGAACTTGTATATGATAACTGCTTTTATACATTGCTTTGTGTGAGAGGAGATGGGGGATGTACTCCACGGTTTATTGGAAGATGGGGGATGGACCTCTAAACCGGAAACTGTTTGACATTGATACAACACTACAATGTGTATCAGGTGGGAAGTATAGAAGTGTTTCTATGTTTATTTGATATAGCACTAAAATGTATATCATGTAGAAAGTATGGAAGTGTTTTGTTTGATTTGATATAGCACTAAAATGAATATCATTTAAGAAGCCTGGGAATGGTTGTCTGATTGTGATACAACACCAATATGTGTATCTATTATGAAGTATGAAATGTTTAAAATGAGTTATTATCTCACCTGAAATAGAAATACTGTAGCCATGAGATATGATCTTATTCAAAATGATTGGCCTAGTTCTGAATCGTAATTATAAATCAAGAATCTGATAGGAAATGGAAACTGGAATAGAACATGAATATATTAGTCATGGGATTGAATAGTGTTATAAGTTGTTGTGTACAAGTTAGACATTTATCAATCACTGACATTTTAGTTATCGTTCATACTATGTTTAGCATATCTCTACTGGGCGTTGGCTCACCCTATATGGGACATCATTTTCAGGTTCAGGCGTTGTGTCGTCTCCGAGACCTTAGCTTGGAAGATTAAGGAAGTTGAAGATTCTTATTTGTTAATTTTGTTGTATTACATGTATATCAAGCCAAGGGCTTAATTTGTATTATGAGTTAGTACTCTTCTTCTGTAACCCAAGTGTTGACTTGGAAAGTTGTAAGCCCATAGGGCATTTACTTTTATTGTTAACATGCATTACATTTTGTAAGAATACCCAGATGATTGTAACATAATATCTCTTTTTTGTACCTTGAATGTATGATATTATGGGTTATTTTTTAGGGCGTTACAGCCGGGACCATCCGAAACTTGTTTTCTGCAGGTTAGTTTCCGTCGGCTTCGTTTGACTTTTACACGGATAGTAATGGTAGACCAGACCAATGCTACAATAAAATTACTGTAAAATTGAAAAATATTTTGGATTCACAAAAAAATTCTTTCACAATTTAATTCACTATAAATTTTAATTCACTAATGCTATATTTAGTTAGAGAATTAAAAAAAAGTGATTTAGAAAGGGAAAAAAAAATAGGTGTGAAATTAAGTAAAATATAAATATATTAGCTTATGCCCGTGGCACGGTGTAAATAATGTTAGAATTAGAATATAATTGTAACCCCAAAACTATTTAAATTTATTTTTTAATTTGATAAATTTACAAATTTATTATAAAATTTTGGAGTTCTCACAAAACTCCTCACGAAAACTTGATTTTGCTTATATAATAGATGTTGGTGAAAATACCAGAAAAATTATGGCTTTGTTTGGTTAGCCTCTCTAAATATATTTTCACCCCATGTTTTGCACATGGCGTTTGTTTAGAGTTTTCAAAATGTAATTCCACACCCAGTTTTGAAAACTCTGTCAAAGGCGGAAAAATTTGGGCTAACCGATCGTCCCACCGGTCGTGCGGCCGATTGACCGGAACAGTGCAATTTTTTTTTGTTTCCAATTGACATATGTTAATTTTTATATATTTGGAAAAAATATTTTCTGAACTTTTAAATTTTTTTTATGTATATATTAGTCATGGGATTGAATAGTGTTATAAGTTGTTGTGTACTAGTTAGACATTTATCAATCACTGACATTTTAGTTATCGTTCATACTATGTTTAGCATATCTCTACTGGGCGTTGGCTCACCCTATATGGGACTTCATTTTCAGGTTCAGGTATTGTGCCGTCTCCGAGACCACAATTTGGAAGATTGAGGGAGTTGAAGATTCTTATTTGTTAATTTTGTTGTATTACATGTATATCAAGCCAAGGGCTTAATTTGTATTATGAGTTAGTACTCTTCTTCTGTAACCCAAGTGTTGACTTGGAAAGTTGTAAGCCCATAGGACATTTACTTTTATTGTCAACATATATTACATTTTGTAAGAATACCCAGATGATTGTAACATAATATCTCTTTTTTGTACCTTGAATGTATGATATTATGGGTTATTTTTTAGGGCGTTACAGCCGGGACCATCCGAAACTTGTTTTCTGCAGGTTAGTTTCCGTCGGTTTCGTTTGACTTTTACACGGATAGTAATGGTAGACCAGACCAATGCTACAATAAAATTACTGTAAAATCGAAAAATATTTTGGATTCACAAAAAAATTCTTTCACAATTTAATTCACTATAAATTTTAATTCACTAATGCTATATTTAGTTAGAGAATTAAAAAAAAGTGATTTAGAAAGGGAA